ATATAAGTGTTTTTAATTTAGATTCTGTGTATTTTAATTTAGATTCATTTTATTAGCTGTGCAGAGTTTGCTGCTGAACCAGTCCAATTCTATCAAAGGGCTCCCTAAAATGTGATTCTATCTTATCATATACAACTATTAAGTTACTTTGTATTTTTAATAAACTGAAGAATTTGATGAGAGCGTGTCTCCTGTTTTCACCGTTTATAGCCACAGCCCACTACCACTTCAGAGAAATGATAGGTTTGTGGTCTCTGGTTCGTTATTGACTGGAAAGCCAGGCTGACTTTTATGTTGTCAGTATCTATTTGAGCTTGTCTACAGACCACCAACTCCTCCTCCTCCTCAGACCTGGGTCTGCTCAGCATCGATGAAACAGTCAAACCACTTCTTTTTTTTTCCCCTTGCTCTCTTCAAGACCACTGTCACCTCACCCCCTCACCACCGCCTGCCCTGTTTTTTTTCGTTTTACATTCAGACACAAAGCACTGATATTCATGCTCACAGTCATTTTCAGCAATGCGTTGTGAACAGGCAAGACGAAGGTGAGTCTACGCTGTTATACTCATATTAAAATATTCTTTCACATTATTTGAATATACTAACCGTCAATGGGTTGTTTAATATAGTGTTGAGTTATTAAGAATCCAAACGTAGTATAGTTCAGTCTTGTAACATTTGTGAGATCTGTAGTTTCAAACATTTAGAAAGCTTTTATACTTTAAGTTAAGTTCATATATTTATAGAGCACATTCAAAGACAACAAATGTTGACCAGAGCAGTCGTGTATTCTTGATAGTTGTGGTGACTCAAATGCAGTTGTAGAAACACTGGTCTTAAGACTGGATTTAAAAAATGGCAGTTCACTGGAAAGACCTTAAGGTGAGGACTACAATGGTCCACAGTCTGGGGGCAACATTGGAAAATGTTTAATCACCGTTGGATTTTAACTGAGAATGTAGAATTGAGAGGAACATCTAGGAAGTTAAGTTGCAATAGGGGCTAAAGAGAGTATAAACTTGGGTCAATCCATGCAGTGTTTGAAAGATTGTTAAAATCAATTCTTCTGTTCTCTTCTTGGTACCAGTGAGGAGATTTGTGACAAACCACAAGCATGACTGACTGACTCAATAAGAAAGTCACCGAAATCAAGGTGCAAAGTCTGTTAATAGTCTCCTGACCCCTCAACGACAGATAGAGTGTTAGATCGCGATGGAGTTTGTCAAATTCTACACCTAGACCATTGCATGTTGAGGGACATTTGAGCTTAAACCACTAAAGGAAGGAAGGAGGGGGGAGAAATGAGCAGATTTGTCTTTCTCTCATAACGTTTTTTGGCCATGCAGTACTTGACATCCTTGCAGCAAACGAGAAGAGACTTAAAGGTGCCCTTTTATAAATAAACAAAAGTTACATTATCAAAAAACATTCTGTGTATCTCAGAAGTCTAACACCTGTTTTAAACTCATATAATAAAAAACATGAAACCATGGGACGGGGACCAAACCACAAGAGAAAGAATGAAAGGCAGATTAAGAATTAAAACCCACAACTGAAACAGATACATTGGGCAGATAAGACTCAAACCACAAGGCTTTAATCTGAAAATTAACTACATGACTGAGATAGCCCAGAGAAACTTTATCAAAAGCAGCAGATGGATCTAACACAATGAAAATAGTTTTTATTTTTTTATTTTCATCATCTAAAGACAACACAGAGTCATTTAAAACCCTTTACCTTAAGTAGTGGCGTGGTAATAACCTGCTTGTTCAACTAAAATGTTTCTTTTTTCAGGATAAACCATCAGTTTGCATCCATCACCCAACTTAACACCAACATGCTTCTGTTGAATATCTG